AAAAAAAAAAAAAAAAAAAAGAAAAAAAAGGAACAAAAGGTCACTGTCTGAAAGTGACATGCTCCAGAGCAGGGTAAGTAGGAGTACAGCATCCTTTCTGGCACTGGCCAGTTTATAAACCCAGAGCAAAATCTGAAGTCCTGAAGGCAAAGGACAGGGTGATGCCTGGGCTGCTGGTTTCTTAGGGCTGTTTCGAGTTTAAAAAAAAAAAAAAAAAAGGAACATCATTAATTCTACTTGGTTTTGCTATCTTTAGAGTGGCCCAAAAACCACACTGTACCTGTTTTTTGTTTAGAAAGTTGTGGAGGGCTCACTGGCTAAGCACTATCTAATTCCCTGCTGGGAATCACACACCAGTGATGCCCACCTTTGCTTTCTGTTTCAGGGTGGCACTGCGCACACCACAGGCTGCCTGAAGGAGTTAGTCATCCTTCCTAACAGCCAGGGCTAGGGCAGAAGGCAGTTCCTGCAGGAAGAAGACAGGATCCACAGGACACAGGGTGGGTGTCCAGAGATACTGTCCTACCCCACCCCACAGGGAGCCCTGTGAAGTTGTCATCTGGCTGCCCACTTTGCCAATGAAGGACAAGAGTCTGAGTGGTCAGAACTGGATTTCCCAGCACCAGGATCTGAGCTTTCCCTCTCCTGTACCCTGGGGATGCCTGGGTAGTATACTCAGGTAACAGAGAGAAAGGCCAGAGAAATGGGACAGTCTACCCCTTTCACTCTCCAGATGCCCACTTCCCAGCTGTCCCCAGACCCTGCAATCCACCCCACATACTGGCCTTGCCCAAGCCTAGTGCTCCACCAACACCAGGCTTTCCTGCTCCCAGAGATGGGTCAGTGAGTCTAATCCTTCACCCTTCTCAGAGGGATAAGAAGCCATGGGCAAAACCCTTCAGGGCCTCGGTACTGATACAGTAAAATAAGGTACAGAAGAATGATTTCTACCCACTGAGGTATACCTCCCTCCCTCAGGGACCAGGAGAGCTCCACCCCTTGCACACTGCTCAGTGAGGCTGGGCCAGCTTCCCCAGGCTCAGGAGGCCAATTAGCAGGACTTCAGCCTCCAGAACCCTTGCCTCTTTAGAGAGTGCCAAAAGGAGCAGGCTGGAGCAAAGTGAGGAGACAGCCACACCCCCAGAAGGAAGCCTCCACATCCTGGACACTCTGCTCTCAGATACTCTGCCAACACCCACTTCCAGTTTCTACAATCTCAACCTTACTACCAGCTTAACAAATTGCTGATGGCTTTGCCAGGGAAAAAAAGAGGGGAGGCAGGGAGAAGAACCTAATAGCAATCAACAAACCCAAACAACTACAGTCCTGAATGCTGGTTTTAGGTTCCTGATGTTGGAAACGATACACTACTTATTAAGGGGTCATCCAAGTTCAAGGCAGCACATCAAGAACTTGATCTTTCAGCAACCTTACAAGACAGATGCAGGTACTTAGCCTCGTGTGTATGATGGAATTAAAATTTCCCTCCTCGGAGTCTGTCCTCCTCAATCACTGGTCCCCATGTTTTAGAAATCCAAGCCCACTGCCAACTCCCCACCACGTATCAGTGACTGCCTCGTAGCTGGGCTGAGGGGATGGAGAGTCATTCTGGACTCCACAGAGGGAGCCGGCCTTCTGACCCGTCCTACCAGTGGCCCAGAGAAGTCAGCTCAAGACAGTGGCCAGGCAGGACAGGGCCAACCTGGAGGCTTAAAAGAGTAAACATGAACCTTGAGGGGGTTGAGGAAAAATAAAACAAGAACACTGGAGCTGCAATTGAGGTGGACTCGCTTCCTCTTAGGAATGTGGGCCAGAAGGCAAGGATCCCCCTAAAATCTTCCAACATCACAGATGTTCCAGCCACCACGAACTGAGAAGGCAGTGGGTTGGAGCAGAGGCTGTGGGGCTGCAGGATAGACAGCTCCCTACAAAAGGAAGTGGGGTGCTACTGCCCCCCACCCCATGCTGGGAACCCATGAAGAGGCCTAGAGGATGTTAAACAAAGGGGGCGGGCAGGGTGTAAGGCAAGTTGGCTTGCAGGCAGGGCAGAGAAGAGAGGACTCGGGAAGACCCTCCCACTCATACGAAGGGAAGCCCCTCTCCTGACTCAGCTTTTTAGCTTCTTTTAGACAGGCAGGTTCCAGAAGATTCCCAACGAGTGCTCCATCCAAGCATTCAAGAGGGACGAGAGCAACTGGGCAAAGCTTCTGGAGAAGCAAGGCTGGTCAGGCCCTGCCAGGGCAATCCTTCCCTGTGGGGTGTGCAGCTACGCTGCTGTAAAGGGGTACACAGGGTACCTGAGGTAATGTCTTCCAGAGATTTCTGAATTGCTCTTTCTGACACCCTCTGGTCAAAAGGACTCTTGGGCAGAAGCCTGGCATATGAAGCTGGCTGAGGCCTGGTATCCTGGCAGTCTGCCCCCTTCTCATCCAAGAAAACGGATACGACTCACTGCTCATTTAACAGAGAGGAAAATGAATGACAGGAGTGGTAGGCAGAACTAGTATTGCCACTCGGCATCCACATCTCTGGGTCACAATACAGTGGTCCCTGAGCCATCTCAAGTCAACCCTACCCAGGTGAATACCCAGGGACCCCTACCCCCACCCCAGAGCTCAGGGCACCAGGCCTCTGCCTCTGAAATTCCTCAAACCACACACTAGGACACCCCACTCGAGGGCTCTGCCAAGCAGCAAGCTCCTCAACTCTGCCTGCTGCCTCCTGCCCAGGGGAGTGGGGAGCTGGGCATGGTCTCTGCGAGCCACAGACACGGGAGACAAACAGACTGTGCAGAGCGGAGAGGCGGCGGGTGCACACAGATGGCTGGGGAGATGGGGTGACAGACAAAACAGAGGGCTGGTTACCTGTGGGCCAGGACCCATGGGCCCCATGCCTCGGGGAGGGTTCATCCTCTGCATTGATCCTCCCATGTTGGGGTGGCCTGTGCAAGAGAGGAGGGGAGGGGAGCTGTGACCTGGCGGGAGCAGAGGAAGGAGCCTTCCTGAGCCCCCAGGCCACCTGCCCCGTCCTCTCTACCTTGTTGTCGTGTGGGATCCATGGAATTGGGCAGCAATGGCTGTGTCCCAGGAACTCCTCCAGGTGGCTAAAAAAGATGCGAGACAAACTGAGTGGCTGCTCCCTACAGCGGGTGGCTGGAGGGAAGAGGCTTCTCCCTGTCCCACTGGGTCCGTACCGGGCTGTTGGGGACCACTCACAGCCTCCTAAGACCCTTCCTACTGCCTGCTGGCTAGGACAAACCCCCAGCACAGGACAGTCAGCCCCGAAAGCACTGCTAAAACTGCAGCGTCAGGTGGCGGCATGGGAAGGAGAGGGGGAGGTGCAGGGTGGCAGGAGAGGAGGCATGGCTGTCCTGCTGCTGATCGGTGTACCTGCATGCCCTGATGAGCAGGGGCATTCTGGAGGTCACACTCTGGCTGCACTGCCTACCCCAACCCCACCCTGGGTGAGCAGTGTCCCCTTCCTCAGCCTCCTGAACCCCAGTGCTGCAGTTTGGCCTGCCCCCATCTTCCTTTCGGCTCACAGAGCTGTAGCTCATTTTACTTCTCCATCCAAAGCTTGGGGGCTGAGAGACCTGCTGCTGAAACCCATCAGCACAGGCAGTCTTCTAGAGGGAGCAAGGCAGGAAGGCCTTCAAGGGTCAGAGGTTCAGGTGCCCAACGGCCCTGGGCCATGCATGAGCAGAGCCAGAACAAACACCCAGGCCTCTCAGCCCTGGGGAAATGGGGAGGCCGTGGGCAGCAAAAAAGCCTCTTGCTGAAGAAGCCTCCTCTGTGTGAGCTGTGGGTGCCAGTGTGACTGCTGCCACCAGGGTGGGGCAGGGTACTATGGTCCCTAGGGGAGCGCTGGACACAAAGGCAGTGAAAACCTATCAAAGTAATTTACTTCTGATGGAAGTTATTTCAGCTGTAATTTGAAAAAAGAACATAGTAGAACCTGGGCAAAGTGTGCTTCTAGGAACCCATCCCATGGGACCAAACACAAGCTCTTCTTTTGGGGAGAAAAAAACCTCTGGAGACCACTGGTCATCGTTCCCCAGCTGCAGGGGGTGCAGCGTCTGAAGGGAGTGGCACCCCTTGACAGGCACCCACACGTCCCTGAGCATCCCCAGCCCTGACAGTCACAGTGAGACCAGCTGAGAGGGGAGCTCATCTGCTTTGGGTCCAACAGTGACCTCTAAGCCAGTGTGGAACAAGGTTGTAGGAAGCCAAGGGACACCTCATGGCTTTCTGGGCTTCAGAAAGGAAGGGGATATGGCTGAGGGCAGGGAGGCTACAAGGAGGCTCCCTGAACCTGAGCAGTGACCCGTGTTCCACCTGCCTGAGGTGACTTGAACTGTCCTTCTGAGCCCCGGCTTCAGCTGTCCCTACCACTCTCCCTGCTCCCTGCCTCCAAGCCCCAGCTCTGAATCCTGGCTGGTTTTCATCTGCCTGTGGGGGATAGACACTCTACAGAGCCCAGCCCAGGACTCTGAGAGGCCCCAAGGAAGACAGCCTCTGAGGCTACGGGATTGGGGGAGCTCAGGAGGCTAAGTAGAAGGGGAACCTCCAAGTCCCGATGTGCCCAGCTCAGGAACACCCCACCATCCCAACAGAGCAGCTGCAGGGGTCGGGCACCATGCCCCCTGCAGGTGGCGTCACGCTGACACCAGTTCTCTAGAAAGATTTCTAGCTTCTTTCCACCTGCCCTGTGCCCCACCTCCAGGAGGAAAGCGGGGCTGTCCAGAGGCCCAGAGAGGCCGAGTCACTTCTCTTCCTGGAGTGACCCTGAGATGGGGATGGGACAGTCTAGACCATCTCTTAAGGGAAGGAAGGTGTGCAATGACCGAGGAGGCTGTCTCACACTGAGAAGGCTGAAGCCCTCCAACACGGCCAGGAGACACAAGGCTCCTAGATAGGGCTGCAGAGGACAGGCGCTCTGGGGCTGCCTCATAGCCCCCCGCAGGCAGGCAGGCAGGTAGGTAGGCAGGCCGCCTGTCCTGCAGCTCTGTGCAGCCAGGCACAGGGAGCATGAATGCCAGCTGTCCCTGCAACCCTCACCTGTCCACCAGGGGGAGCTCTGCAGAGAGGTGGCAAAGGGGCATCTGACACACACATTCAAGTCCCTCCATTCTCAAACCCAACTGTACCTCATCCATCACCCAGGCACCCTAACTTGAAAACAGGAGCACTCTATCCACAGCCCCACACCTCTAGCAGGGAGGCCTTGAAGGCTCTGGGGCCCAGTTGTGGCCATCGGCTTCTTGCTCACTTAAGCACCTTGATTATCACCCAGACGGCACAGGAAGTGGGCCGCGTGAGCCAGAGCAAGTCCTCCTGTCACTCTGTTCTTCCACCTGTTGTGGAAAAGGACTGAGCTAACTTGGGGGGCTCCAACTGAGGTGTTCTCCACAAAACCCCCATGGTCAATACTGTGGAAGAGGCACATCTATCTTTGGGAAAGAACGATGTATGAAGTTCAGGGTAAACTGGAAAATCAGTGTGGATTTCTGGAAGAGCTTGCAAGGAGGCTGGGAAAACTATTTGGGACACAAGCTGCAGATCTGCTCATGTGGAAATGCTGAATAGAAACACACTCCTTCTCCTTGCCCTTGACTGCTGGGAAAAGGACCCCACGACTACAGGAAGTATTCACTGTCTCCCTAGGAAAGTGTCTGGTTTGGGCAGAGGACAGTCCCCAGGAGACAGGGAGAGAGTCACTGGCCTGTGCATAAGCGGCAAAGGAGCCCACTTGGTGACAGGGCAAAAACAAAAGTCGGGAGCAGCGCTTTTCCAACTACCTAGGATAGCTAAGTAGCTGGGCAGGGTGGCGCAGAATCCACGCTGGGCCTGATGTGCGCCCAGCCCACTGTGAGCCCCTGAAAGTCACTCCTCTATTCTGACCTGCTGTTTCTTATCTGTGATGGGTCCAAGGATCCCTTCTTGCTCAAAAAGCTAGGTCTCTAATTCTTCTTACCCTAATTTATTCTTTTCATGTAAGAGAAAACAGAAGTAAAGGATTTGGGGAGACACAATATAGAGTCAGGAAGCCTGACAGCTTCACACCAAAAGGGGAGGCCTTGTCACACAAGCCCCTCACCACAGCCCCTGCATCGTCTCACCCAGGGCTTCCGTGCAGAGAGAGAATGCCACTTGGACAACATCACCCGAGATGGTGACTAACTAGTTCCCAAGGCAGCAAGGGCTCAATGTGCTGGTTTCGCAGACAGATTTTTTTGAAGGACCTCTTCAAAGTCACTGAAGAACTATTACAAAAATATTTTGGCACAAAAAGCAATCTCCCAGGTGTTGCTCTTGTCTCTCCTAGAGAGAGAGGTGTCCATTCATCCTGACCTCTCCGGCTCCCCTCCTGCCCCTAGAGGGGCTGAGCAGGGGGCAGTGGCATGGGGCCCTATTTCCCTAGACCACCTAGAACTGCCAACCCTCACAGGGCGCAGTAAGGCCTGCAACTTCAGGCTGAAAAGCCCTCCCATAAGTAGTCCACTTTTCTAATTACACAAACAAATCCTGCCTTGTTTTGAGTTGAGTCTGGGAAGCAGGCAGACACTGCTCAAAAACTCACAAATGCCCTGCTCCACTGTAGCCAGGCTCCTGATCTAAGCATTCCTATGGGCCATTTCTCCCCCTAATAGCAGGATTTTATTTACCAGCCTTGGCAATTCTCAAAAGCTTCCAGGAAAAAATGCATGCTGTCAATTAACTTCATTAAGGAGGAAGACCCTCTTCCAAGAAAGGGCTGGAAGGGAGGGGCAGCGCAGCATTACCACCTTCTCTAGAAGTGCAGAGATCCTGCAATGCCACAAAGACTGCAGTTCCCAGTGCCCTATGAACCCCAGAATGGACAGGCAGGTCAAACGCTGCACTATGGGTGGCCTGCTGGTAAGCTACCCTCCAACTTAACAACAGGGCCCTCCACCCCTTCATCTTTCCCCCAAATCTTGATTTGAGTCAAATTCCAAGCAGGGCCACAGAAGGCTGAGTGAGAGGAGAGAGAACACGAAAAGGTACAGTACCTGGTTTCCCATTCTGATCGGGGGCCTGGGGCCGCCTGCGTATCGCGGTGACATAAAAGGCTGCAATTACAGGGAATTAGTTCAATGACAGCCTGTGCTCCTGCACAATGACAAACAAATGCTCTCCACTCCACAGAGTCCAGTTTGTTACACTAAAGATCTTTTAAGCTCTCTTCCTCCCGGTAGCCTCTTCCCTCTGGACAAAACTCCCCACCGGCAGAAACTCCCTACAACAGATAAGTATCCCCATTCTGCACTGGTCCAAGGAGATCTACTAGGTGGTGGAGCGGCGGCTGGCAATTTGTGCAGGTCACAGAAGAGCAGTTAAATCAACACAGGGCAACGGAGGCCACCTCTGCTTTCCACAAGGGCAAATGAAAGAATAAGAACAGGGATTTGTACATAACGTCGTCAGGGTCTGCACACAGAGCGGAACACGCGTGCACACTCACGCACATACACGTGCACACACAGAAACCACTGACAGGAGGCGTGGGGGGGGAGCGAGGATCAGAGGGCACAATGGAAGCCGGTATGGGGGCAGCGGGCTCCCTAACTTGATGCAGCAGAATGGGCCGGAAAGCTTTCTCAGCAGCGAAAGCGCACAAAGAAAAGGCTTGGGATGCAGCCTCGGTTACAAACGAATGGTTAACCAAACTCAAAAACCAAACCAAAAGTGAGAGAGGAAAAAACAAAAACGCAAAGGCCGCTGACAAGGTCACAGAAACATTTTTCTTTTCTCTTGGTTTTGTATCCAAGCTGGGTGTGATGGCCAAGGAATGAAGGCTATCTTCAAGAAAAAAAAGTATGCATATATATATATATATATATATATATATATGTCAATTAAATTTGTCCATAAAGACTCGATGGCAATGGCTGGAGCACATTTTGATTTTTGTTTTTCCTCTGCTGGCTCTCTCCTTCCTCCTGCCCTGTGCCCCCCGCGGGCGGGCGGGTGAGCCGGTGCGTTTACCTGACTGTGGGG